TTTTTATAGCCAAATAATACTCCATTATATGGATACACACCATATTTGGTTTTATCTATTCCTGTTGATGGACATGTTTTCATTTGTTGGCTATTACACATAATGCTGCTATGAATGTTTATGTATATGTTTTTGTATGAACATGTTTTCAATTCTTGGGTGTACACCTAGGAATGAAACTGTTGGATCACATGGTAACTGTATATTTTACCAGTCGAAGAACTGCTAAACTGTTCATTCCAAGGCAGCTGCTTACAATCCGAAAAGAGCATATGAGGGTTCCAATATTTCAACATCCTTGTCAACATTTGTCATTATCTTTTTTACTTTAGCCATCCTACTGTGTATAAAGTGGTACCTTATGGTTTTAATTTGCGTTTCCCTGATGAATAATGATATTAAAGCATGTTTTTATGTGCTTATTGGCCATTTGCATATTTTTTTTGACAAATGTATATTGAAATCTTTTGACCATTTTTTAATGGGGTTGTTTTTATTGATGACTTGTTAAGTGTTAACATATTCTGTACACAAGTCCCTCATCAGATATATGATCTCCAAGTACTTTTTCCTGTTTTGTGGGTTGTGTTTTTACTCATACGATAGTGTCCTTCGATCAAAAAACTTTTAATTTTGATTAAGTAAAATTTATCCATTTTTTTGTGTTTTTTGATGTCATACTTAAGAAATCATTGACAAATCCAACATCACAAAGGCTTACTTTATGTTTTCTTCTAAGAGTTCTATAGTTGTAGCTCTTTGATCCATTTTGAGTTAACTTTTGTATACGGTGTGAGGTAGTGGTCCAACTTCATTCTTTTGCATGTGGATATTAAGTTGTCCCAGATCCATTTGTTGAAAACACTATTCTTTCCCCATTTAATGGTCTTAGCACCTTTGCTGAATGGGATGTATCTTACAATTGTAACTGGATGTGTTTTTCTGGAATAACACCTTATAATGCATGGCATCTTGCATCCAATGAAGTATATAACACTTATTCCCTGAAATAAAAGCCTATGTAAGTGTGCATTTTCTTTTTTTGGAAATGAAAAATCGATTTCCCTCAACAATACTAAGATTTGAATATCAATGTGATGAAGAAAAAAACATATATACATATATTTTATGATAGATATTAAAGGCTTGAAGGCTTACACACAATACTTATTATGATGTTAAAAGTGAATGAAGATTGTCATAAAAGTAGCAGAATGACTATAATAATCATGAAGAAAATTCATTAATTCTACAAGTCAGGTTAAATTATCTTTGAAGTTAGATTTATTTGACAGTGATCTAATGTCACAAGAAATAATATAAGCACCAGTGAAATTTCTTTAATAAAAAAATTGGGGAATTTTCAGAATCCAGATTTAAATAAGTACTCTACAGAATATAAAACAATAATTAACTCAACTGTTTGGGATTAACTTGGAAGTTTGAGAAATGGAAAAATCAAGTCTACCTTTGTATTCACTTCCTATTGAATGTCCTGATGAACCCATTGATGACCACAGAGTCTGAAGACAATGACTCACAAACATACTGAGATTCATTTAATAATTTTTAAAGATTTTTCCTGTAAAATGGCTTGTATTTCCACAGGTACAACAGTGAAGAAATAAGCTTTTCAATTTGACATGAAATATAAAAGAATAATTTTACAAATATATCCATAAAATTTAACTGCTCATAACACTATACATGGCAAGTGACCACACCCTTAATTTCTAGACTATTTAACACAGAGAAGCAACTTGTTATCTCAGCTACAAAGAAACAACTTCTCTTCCATCAAATTTTTGTTTAAAAACATATTTAGAAACAGTTAAATAGAACTGGAAAAATATTTGTTTTTCCCTACCTTCCTCTAGGGATTCTTCATGAGTGTGAAAACTTATTTGAAAGGATATAAGTTTTACTAAAAAGAAATACTGCACCTCCTTTCGTTTTACTGCTTCAATAATGCTTACATTCTTTAAAAAAGATCCTGAAGTTGTCTCATTGGCCTTTGGGTCATAAAGAAATGATAACAGAACTGTGCTCTATTTTCAGCACTGAAGAAGGAACTTCATACCCTTAGCATGTAAAGGCTAAACTACAGGGATAGAAGATCGACAGTCAAGGAAACAGAGCTGGACCTGGCTTAAAATCAAGGTTCCATGGTTTGTCTATCTGAAATTCCATTGTTATCAGGCAAGACTGAATGAAGATAACTAGCTTTTACCCAGCAATAACAATGGTGTGATCACACACCCTTTCATGTGCATCCAAAGAACGGAATGGCTTTTAAAAAGAAAAGAACTTGAGTGAAATCCTAGAACTTCAGGTAACAAATCTATAATCTATATTACACTTAAGTAGAAAACATGCTCCTTAAACTCTCAAAAGTGCCCAATAACGATACTGAGAGCCCAAATAACAGAGGTTTGAGTTTTTCTATGTAAGCAAAAATAAAAGGCATTGAAGCTTTATGAAGAAAAGAGTTCTCCTCAACTTTCCTAACACAGTATATGTAATAACTTAAAATAATTTTCCCATTAGTACTGGAAAATAAATTCTATTACAATCATGTTTATGCCAGTTCCTGGCATATTTCTGCATCCAGATTCATTAGTCTCCTTAATGGAGCCCATCATTTTTCCAATGGCTTTCTCCTTTCTTTAAACCCTAACCCTGAAATTCTGTAACCAGTCATATCACATGGCTTCCCTGAGGCACAAAGGTACCAAACTCTATAATTAACTATTGAGAAATGATAAATATGCTCTCTATTTATATTAAAAGATTTTAATTCTTTTGGGCCACAGTTGGTGAAGACAAAAAAAAAAACAACAATACCTCAAAACCCCCAGAAAGCTAATACTTACTCTGCAGTGTGAACTGTAGCCCTTTTTGCAAAAAGCTGAACCAAATAAGGGAAATGTTGAGAGTTCCAGCATGCATGACCCAGCAGCACCAATTATTAATAAGAAATTCTGGACTAGAAAAATACTCAGAGTTGTACCCCATCCACTCTGAATCTTTTTTTTTTTTTTTCTCTTAGTAAACTGACAAACAACTGAAAAAAAAAATCTGTGGGAATACATCACTGAGGCTTTCCTTCTGGAATTCTATTTGCAAAAGACATCTCTGTCAGGCAGAGACCAAGATCATCTATTTCCTTATGTATACACACGGGGTGTGGGACTCATCCTTTAACGTGATGGCAAGCAAGACATAAGAACAGAAATGACCTTTGAGAAGTTCCCTTTTCTGAACTGTGTTACTCTACTTTGGTGAGCTAGAGTTCTTTTTTCTCACAAACTAAATTGCTTTCAACTCTGAAAATAAATCTCACTCATGAAAATTATAAGGGGACCTTAGGAGAAGTGGCCAACATAAGCAGGGTGTCCTTTCTGTATACTTGCCACCTCTTGTGGTTTCCCAGGCAGGGTGGAAGGGGACCTCACTTGGAAGCCAAAGGAAAAGATGTAGAGTTGATAGAAGTGGTTCACTGTGAGCCCTTCAAAGAGCTTGGAATATTATTACCCAAATTTCAACTTACACTTAAGCTATCTGAATTTACTAAAAGTCAGGAACTTTTCAGGTTGGAAGATAACTTTACTTTTGGGCATATGTTGCATGCAGAACTACTAGATTTATGTTATATAGTTCTTGAAATGAAGAATTGTATCAGAGCATGACTTTCTGGAAAATATTTTGTGGGGGAGGGGCAGGTAAAATCCAGCCTTTCTGGATGCAAGACAACTTACCTTACAAGATACTTTTCAGGGTATCAAGAACCCTCAAACCACTTTCTAGCCATATAGCAAGAAAAGGGAACGAGTGCCTCCTTCATCATTCTTGAGAGCCCAAATAATCACAGGCTGAAAAGACATATTTGACCAGTGAAAGCTAATCATTGGAAACTGACTATATCAAAAGCTATTCAACATATTATTCTAGGCAATTCCACTTTTTTCTTTCATTTTCTGTCTGCAGGTAGAGTAAGCTATACAGAATTGAGAAAGCTATGACTAAGAGGACTGTTGCTGGATTATCACATCATTTAAAAATTAACCAAAATAAAACCAGAAACAAAAATGCCACATCCTAAACAGTGATCTCCATTGAAAAATAAAGCTATTTTAAAACTGAGAGGCTGAACTTTTAAAATATTAAGTCAAATTAAATTAAGCAGCAGCAATCAGGAGTAATATATCTTACCACTTTAAGGAAAAGAGTATTCAGATAGGTTAAAACGACTGAAAACAGGCAAAATATTTGCCAGTAGACAAGATATGGAATTCAATTCAAGTTTTAGAATCATGTAAATTATATATATTTACAAAGGTTAAAAAATATAGCCCAAATCTGCAATGATCAACTTAAGAGGGTGTTAGTTTAAATAAATACTTACTCCATGTGGCAGGGATCAATTTTATCTCAGCCAGATTCTAGCAGTTTCATGTCCTAAGGGATCTTTACATTCTGGGATCAGTTATACTACTGATATCAAGCACAGAGAATGAGTATCCAAGAATTATTCATCAAAATGAAATGAAACTAACAGAGAGGGATGGTAGAGCTCATGTAAAATTCTGATTTAATTATTCCTAAATAAACACTCACTCTCTCAAAATCAGGAATCTCAAATTATCTCTACAGATGTACCACTTAGTGTTGTGTATATCTAATGATCACATTTAAATTTAGTTTGATTTGCAAACATTTTCAAAACTTACAGGGCTCCTTAAGCTGCAAGGAAAGGTGACAGATGGTGGAAAGTAAGGGAACAAAAACGACTATCACTGTGATTTGTTGCTTTTAGGCTCACGTAATTTTAGCTTAAGGATGGGGGGAAAAAGACCTTATGAAATCCCAAGAAGTGGTTTTAAAAAGTAAAAGCTTATTTTTAATCATTCTTAAATCTTAAATAATTCAGTAAGCAAATAAACTCGGTATTATATAGTGCCTAGGCCATGTCTACTGCTGCAGTAATCACTCTCAGTTAATGAATTTTTAAGAACTGCTATATTTTAATCAACCGAACAGTTCTGGTCATGCAAGATAAGTATCAGAGATAAACCACATTAGGCAGAAATAACAAAAGGCAGAGTAAAAAGTTATAGAAAATTCTTTGTTTGAAATGTCAAGTATTTGATAAAGGAGTGTATAAAGTGAATTCCACTGAAGTTAAACACACACACACACACACACACACACACCCCATATATGAATATTCACTCTCTGGAAGAGTAAGAAAAATAAATCGAAAAAAAAGCCCCAGATTTCAAAACAACCACCTGTGCCCTAAGGTCTCCTGTCCACCAATCACATTTCACAGAGTTACCCCTTTGGTATCTGGTCAGATTCTAGCCGTTATCAAGTATTCCCAGACACTGCGGGTCTTTCAGGCAGCCCCTATGCCACAAAACACTGAAGGTTGCACATTAAGAGCCAACAACTTCTGAATAAATTTCTCCTACATTGTAAATTATTTGTAAAATAAGATTTAAAGTCTCATCCAAGTGTACAAAGGAAAAAAAACTTGGTTAAAAACCCATGGTTAAAAATTAAAGCATGGCATTTTAAATCCAATTGTTACAAAGATACTACGGTTGAATCAAGCAGACTTCAATGACGATGCTGCTGTTTTAGCATGCAACACATCACTGGTGACTTTTAAACTCCTGCCATGTTTCATCACTGTGTCCCCTCTTTTTTCCCAGCCCCAGTCTTCCCCCCCCCTTAATAAACTGCGTTACAAAAAGGTAAAATCTAGAGTTAGTGGCAAAATCTTCACAGTAACTTGTTAATAAAGTCATAGATGGCTGTCAAGGGTATCAATCGATTGGACCTTGGAAAATTAATTTGATGCAGTTTTGCTCCCCGACCAGCTGCGTTGCACAGAAAGGGCAGGCGGCATGAAATGCATGAGTTCCATGAGGCAGTGGAATCTGAGACCAATATTTTGCAGACTTCTCTGAGCACACATGTCCACAGGGGGTAAAAGCATGAGTTGGTGGTCCTGCGTCCACATAAAATCCTGCCTCGCAGCCGAGCCAGAGAGGTACATAGGGGCCCACAGTCCTGCACATGGGACACTCCCTCTCATTGGCCTCCGTGTCACTCCGGTGGCCCCAGTTGTGGTACCCATGCACATGGCCACAGCTGAGATACGCCCAGGGCTGTTTCTCCTCCACTACCTCTTTCCTGTTGATGCTGGGGAAGGCCAAGGTGTTGAGCCCCACAGGACACTGTGGTCGGGCGGCATTGATCTCCTGCCGGAGGGCTTCTATGTGTTTCTGAGTTGGTGTATGAAAAAGGCCATCTGCTGTTCTCCAGAGAAGAGTGGCCCCACACAGGTCAATGAGGGAGCCGTCCTGCAGGACGTTGGTCTCACTTTCCACCTACAACAAATTTGGTAGACATGCTTTTAAGGCAAAATCCAGCAAATCACTGCAGCAAGTCACAACAACATTCTTTCCTCTCAAATTAAACAAGACATCATTTTTGAAGAAAACATGTGCAGGCACTTTATCCCACTAAAAACAGGACAGGGGAGTAAGCTATCCTCCCTGAGCCTCAGTTTCCTCATTTGAACACGGGATACTATATTTATACTTATATATAATATGTACAAATTACTCCTGGTGACCTTCAGCTTCACACACACACTATATATAGTATTCAAATATCATGTATCATATCAATATATCATACATACAAAGCTCTGAGCGCAATATTCCTAGCTTTATGTGTTCAATTAATGGTAGTGGTTATTTTAACAAACTTCAGAAATCTCCTTAGGTTTTTATTAACTCCTTAAGGCCATCACACAATTACTGATCTCATGAGGGATGGGAGCTGTCCCACCAGTACCTCCTCATTTCGGCCAGAGCAAATGTGGGAGGCCCTGGGGGCCCTGCAGTCGTTACTGCAGTGGTCCAGAACACTCCCGGCCACCCTCAGCTTCCCACACAGCTGGACCCTTTCATCCTTCATCACTAAGGTTTGAAGCTGAAGAGTTCGGTATGAGCCTTCATTTGTAAAAGGATGTCTGTGCCGTGTACCACATGCTTACAAGACTGATAAGCAGCTGACAGGAGCACAGTGAGACCTGGTCTGCAAGGACTTGGCCTCTGCTGCCATGAGCCCATGGGTGCTGAGCCCTGGGAGTCACAGACCAGTGACCCCTCTTCCCATCCTGAACGGACTCGTTCTGCAGGAGTGGGAGGCAGACACGCAGAGCTAGGGGTGAGTGCAGGTCGGGGAGGTGCTGTGTGAAGCTGGAGCACCACAGTGGCTAAGTGTGCACTCTGGAGCTGACTGCTCGGGTTTGAAGCCTGGCTCTGTCAACTTATTAGCAGTGTGACCTTGGGCAGATTATTGAAGTGCTCTGTGCCTCCGTTTCCCCTTCTGTAAAATTTAGATAAGGTGGTTGTGAGGGATAAGTAAACTAACACAAATGAAGTTCTTAGAATGATGTCTGGTGTACAGTAAACATTATGTAAATATCTGCTACCATTACTTGATGATGGAAGTCAGAAATAGTTTTTAAAGGGGTTCTCCTTGAACAGAGACTTGAAAAAGATGTCGGGAGTCAGCAGGTAGCCAGAAAGAGGTATGAGAATACCAAACAGCATGTGCACCGAGGGCAGCACAAGGGTTCAGCAAGGTTCAAGGCCAGCTGAGCGCAGCTGGAGCCGGCGCAGGCAGGACCAGTGGCCTGGGCTGGAGGGGCAGGCTGGCCTCGCTGCCCAGTGGGCATCAGCGGGGGGTTAGACAACCGTGAAAGAGCTAGTGTGCCTTTCCAGAAAGGTCACTTCCAGACGTTTGGAGGGTGGCTGGAGGGATGTGACGCTGTCGCGCACACACTGGGAGGGAGAGAGGTTAGCAGACGGAGGGTCCCGACTCCTCT